GCTTCAGGATCTGTCCTTCCAGTGAGCACTCAGGGTTGATTTCCTTCAGAATGGATAGATTTGTTCTCTTTGCAGTCCAGGGGACTCTCAAGAGTCTCCTCCAGCACCACAATTCAAAAGCATAAATTCTTCAGTGGTCAGCCTTCTTTATGGTCCAGCTCTCACTTCCATACATCACTACTGGGAAAAACATAGCTTTGACTATGTGGACCTTTGTTGGCTAGGTGATGTCTCTGCTTTTTAAGATGCTGTCTAGGTTTGTCATCACTTTCCTCCCAAGAAGCAGGGGTCTTTTAATTTCGTGGCTGCTGTCACCATTTGCAGTGATCATGGAGCCCATGAAAGTAAAATCTGTCACTGCCTCCATATCTTCTCCTTCTATTTGCCAGGAGGTGATGGGATCAGTAGCCATGATCTTAGTTTTTTTGATGTTGAGCTTCAGACCGGTTTTTGAGCTCTCCTCTTTCACCCTCATTACAAGGTTCCTTAATTCCTCCTCACTTTCTACCATCAGAGTGGTATCATCTTCACATCTGAAGTTGTTGATATTTCTTCCGGCAATGATGCCATCACTCAGGAGTTGTGCACTGTGCATTACACCTCTTTTGACAAGGCAGTTCGTATTGTCTGGAAGCGCGGCATAGGAGTGGAGCTCAGAAAACATGATGCAAAACAAGGGAGTTGGGCCTCTCCTTAACTGAAAAAAAGACCGAGGGACTGGCTATGTCCCTTATTTTCTTGGACATAGAGTTAGACTCTAAGCAGCAGACGTCCAGATTGCCTAATGGTAATGATGGTGTAGGTTAAAAGGATATTTCTTATCTGCTCATTCAGTAAATACAGAACAAAGTGAGCAGTCCTTTATGAATGATGGCAGGTGCTTAGCAGCTGTATGATTGTATTGTGTGGTACATTGACTTAAATAATGTAGTTAACATAGCAGATCCAGAAGTGTCCAGGCCAGGACCTTACCACTGGTGATATTACGCTTGTTCACCTTCCACCATACCTCGGGACTTTGGCAATTTAAGTAATTAATCCTAACAGGATTAATTCAATCTGCATAACAAAGGAAAATGTCAGCAGTGGCCGGCGGCCTCGGAAGGACCCCGAAGCCACCGCCCGACTGCCGACATTTTGCCTTCCCAGCTCTCAAAGGGCCCCCCTCCGACATTGGAGAGAACCCCTTTGAGAGCTCGGAAGGCTCTCAGCAGCGGCGGGGGCAGGGTAGGGTGGATCCGGAAGGCTTCCAGGCAAAGCACTGGAAGCCGTCCGGAACACACACACCTTGCCGCCGCCGCCGCTTGAAGTCGCCCCGTGCTGCCTATCCCAGTCATGCTAGCATGACTGGGATAGGCGGCACGGGTCGGCTCCCGGCGGCTGGGGCAGGTCTTCACTATTTGCATATGATCTGTAGAGAAAAGAACAGAAGAATTGTTAATATTTAAATTCTAAATAGTTTATTTAAACTTTGTTGTTGTTTAGTCTTTAAGTCATTTAAAGGAATGGGTTCCAAACCTCAGGCCATGGACCCCAGCCTTACCTAACACTAAGTCGGTAATTTTCCAAAATTGGTATTTTGTTAGAGGGGTTCCGTCCTCATGTATGAAAAAATAATCATGACCGTGTCCTCTAACCTTTAAGTAAACTCCTATTGCTTTTACCGGACAAAAAGATTTCTATTGAACAGGGACCTAAAGTAAGGTTTGCTCCCTTCCCTCGCTGGTCTGCCTTGGACCGGCAGATGCGAATTTGCACCATATCCTCTGCTAACGTCACATCGTGCCATTGTAGGGCTAAACTAGATGCATCGCCTTTCCCAGCTGCTACCACCTCGCTGATCCTTAGGGCACCGAAAAATGTCAGCAAGGAGGCAGCTTGAAACAGTACTGCTTCAAAGGTGTCCCTGCAGATATTTGGCAGCAACTAGCTAAACCCCTTCTATTAAGGAACACTGTAAACTGCTGCAGGTGCTCCATGGGAGCAGGCCACAATGGTTCCCAGTCTACTGATCTCCTGAACTCCTGGAACTCTGTACTCACTGCCCGGTATGCCTTCCGCACCCTTGGAGCCAGGGCCAGGCCTATAGCTCTTTCGGCGTCCTCCTGCCAATTTGCCAGACCTCTGCTGGTAGTCTGTCTGGACGCCACTGGCTCCTGAATCTAACTCCCTGAACCACGGGATCTGTCGGCATGATACAGCATCAGCCAAGCTGTTATCCAAACCAGGGATATATTTTGCTTGGATAAGAACATTGAATTTCAAGGCACGTAACAGGATTAATTCAATCTGCATAACAAAGTGGTCCTAGCGTAAAATTGCAGGTCACAAAACCCAAGATGATATCCAAATTCTTATACAATTTTGTTCTTACAGGATACATTTAAGCATGAGTTACCTGCTCACTCTCCACACTGGCATATAATTATGATATACAGTTCCCTGATAACACTGTTTTGCATAGGGTGGGGGAAAAGACTTCATCTACTTGTGTTTCTACTTAAAATGATCCATTCTTCCTCTTTAAGAGCTGGCATTCTTTGAGATACAAAATAGATGTTTGTTCTGCCTTCACAATGGATATTGAGAGTTAAAATAGATCACACTGAAAATAAGGACCTTTTAAGCACCAGCTGGATCTCACCAAATTTCAGTGTGGACAGAAAAAGTGTGGTTCAAGACAAAGTGGGGACACACCTAGAGAGAGTTCTCTAAGATAAAGGGCAGGCCCTTAGTAGCAATAGGCCTTTAGTGTGTATAATGATGACCCAAAGAATGTAACAGGCATAGCAGATTCAGAGGTTTCTAGACCATGACCTTACTTATGTTAACTCTGTCTTTTCTAGTCCATAGTATGCTACAACCTTCCAGTATGCATTGAGACTCTTCCAATTTAATTAATTAATCCTAACAGAATTAATTGGATCTTGATACAGATATGGTTCTAGCAAAAGGCTACAAATTATGGAAGCTGGTATTCATGTCCAAATTTGAATACAGTTTTATTCTTACATGACACGTTTAAACATGGCTTAGAGTCAAGTTCCAGATCTAACATTTCTCACAGAGCATTGTTTTTCATACCGTGGATCAATTGTTCCCAACCTTAGGTCCCCAGGTGTTCTTGGTCTAAAATTCCCAGAAGCCTTGACCAGTGGCTGTGGTGGCCAGGATTTCTGGGAGTTGTAGTCCAGAAACATCCAGGGACTCAGGTTTGGGAGCTGCTGTGGTAGAGGAATGGATTCAGCACAGGAGGAAATATGTATATCTTGGGAAATCCAATTACCAGATTAGAAGAGGTATCAGTGGAAGCTGTTCATAGGCAAATAATACAAATAATACAATATTCCAAAAAACATAGAGGCAATATAACTCAAGAGGGTAAACATGAATTGGGAAAGATAAATGAGACAGTAACAAGGGAATCAGGATTAATAACCAATATGAATAGGACTACATTAATACACAGTTAACACTAAAGATAAGATGAAATGGTTTTAGAGGAATGTCTGAAATTTACCAATTTCCACAAAGCATTCTTGAGATCTTTGTTTCTCATGCTATAGATGAATGGGTTCAACAGGGGAGGGATTATGGAATATATCACAGCAAAAGCTACATCCAGATCAGATGATGTATCAGACCGAGGCTTTGCATAAGCAGAACTTCCACACAGTATTAACACAGAGACAACAGTGAGGTGAGGAATACAGGTGGAGAAGGCTTTTCTCTGACCATGTACTGAGGGGATTCTGAGCACCGTAGCAAAGATCTGCACATAGGTTTTGATGATGAAGATAAGGCATCCTATTGCTGTACTGCAGCTGAGTACAAGAAGCCCAACTTCCACGAGATAAAGGTCAGAGCAGGCGAGCTTTAGTAACTGTGGGATTTCACAGAAGAACTGTTGGACTGTGTTGGAACAGAAGGTGTTTGCAAAGGTGCCACCAGTATGTAATAGGGCATAACAAAGACCAGCAACCCATCCTAGTCCCACAATCTGCAAGCAGGCTCTTTTGTGCATGATTCTTTCATACTGGAGGGGTTTGCAAATAGCAATATTGCGATCATGAGCCATTAGAATTAAGACACAAAAACCTGTAGCAAAAAAGAAGATAAAAAAGAACACCTGAGCAACGCATCCATAATATGAAATTGAAGTGTCATCTGCAAGGGACATAGCCATGGATTTGGGCACTGTGACTGACACTGAGCCAAGGTCTAACACTGCTAAATTGGACAGCAAGAAATACATGGGAGTATGAAGGTGGTAATCCAAGGCCACTGCAATGAGAATGAAAAGGTTCCCAGTTACTGACAGCAGGTACAATGCTAGAAATATGAAGAAGTGAGAGATCTGCAGTTCTCGGACATCTGAGAATCCCATCAGTAGAAAAGTGGATATTGAAGTATGATTATTCATATTGTCTTCCGTTCTTGCACATTATCTCTAATGAGAAAAACACAAGAGCAATAACTGGTCAATTGAAACAGAATTTGTCTTAATAAACAAGGTAATGTATATTTGCTCCCCCTCCCACAAATCAGTACTGTTTTTCTGTTTATTATTATTGAAATACAAATATATCTGAAATACCAGAATGCTAGGACAGTGGCTGTGCAGTTGGTGATAAGTCATCAGGTTTTTGAAGAAGCAAAACATGAAGAAGAGAAATACCTTCCACAATCAGAGCACACATCTTTCTTTCACCTCCTGTTTAAAGATGTTTTCTGGCCCACATCAGTTGCAATTCTACTGTTTGTGTAATGTCACCTAATTTATATATTTATTTAAAATATTTTTACCCTTTTTTCTCCTTAAAATGAACCCAAGGGAACTTACAAAACAATCAATTTCCACAATGAATCAGTAAACAAAATCAACACCAAAAACACAAACAAATCAAAACAATCCATTTAAAAACCCCTCTCAGACCATCAGTTATTAAGGGAAAGCTTGCCTGAAGAGAAAGTTCTTCACCGGCCTGCAGAAGGACAGTAAAACTTGGGCCAGACTAGATTCCTGTGGGAGGGAGTTCCAGAGCCCGGGGCGCAGTGGCAGAAAAAGCACTTTCTCATGTCCTCATCAAATGCACCTATGAAGTTGGTGGGACAGTGACAAGGATCTCACCTGATGATCTTAACACTCACAATGACTCACAAAGGGAGATGTAGTTCTTGAGATAACTTGAATCCAAGCTGTTTAGGGCTATACAGGTTAGAGCCAGCATGTTGAATTGTGCTCAATAACAGATCAACAGCCAGTGGAGCTGCTGTAACAGAGGAGGTGATGTGATCTCCAGTTAATCCTCTGGCTGTTGCATTCTGGACTCACTGAAGTTTACAGACCCTTTCCAGCTGACTGCAGCTCATTGACAGTGCAGTACCTCATGGTTGGATAACTGGGCACATCATCAGATATACAAATGAGACACTGGCTGCAAGTAATCAGCTGCAAATATTTGTTGTCAGTTATGTAAACAGGCAGCAATAATGTTGTGGACATTCTATATGGTAAACCACACTCCCTTTTCCCCCTGAAAACACGAATGGTATTGTGGGATATTTTTCTGAAATTTTCATTCATGTTGGAAAAATAAATATTATACAAACACTGTTAGGCATTTCAGTGTTGCATTTAAGTGAAGTAATGTGAAACACTTTCTAACCGATAACCCCACTGTAACTGAGGAAATAAATATCCTCACGATGAAAGGCCATGGTTCATGTCAGTTTGCTGAAGATGAGAGCACTTTGTTTCAGCTTCTCTGCACTACATTTTTTAATAATTTAAATATTTTTTGATTAATCAATAGCAATGCATGAGAAAAGTGAGGCGGTTAGTGACAATGTCCTGGAAGGACTATATTGTAGGTCTTCTTCATTGTGCTTTTTACTACAGAGATAAATAAATCTGGCACCAAATGTCTGAACACTTGTGGCAAAATGGGATTGGCCAAGAGTTTATTGGCAGTAAAGTTCTTGGCAGGATGAATTTTGCCAGGCACCTCTGTCTTAGATGAGGCAGGAGGTTGTTTTAAAGATATTACTGAGGCAGCTGTGGGTTGGATTTCACACTAAGTTCTTCAAACAAAGGGGCAGAGTCTATGCATACATGCATACACACACTCCATTTTGGCTCTTCTTTGAAACAGACACGTTTCTGCTTGAACAGGAAAGCAGGGGTGGGGCAGAAAACCCATGTCCTCCATCTAGGAATTGCGGTATAATTTAGTAAATGAACTAGGTATAGCCAATTAAAATTGGAAAAGCAAAATGACATATGCCAGTGCTTGAAGGCTAAAATATGTTCTTACTTTATGGCCAGCCTTTACATAAAGCTTAGACTTTGTAAGAATCATCTCAACTATACAATAAACTTCATCAATTTTAGTAATTAATGTTTTTTTGTTACTGAATTTGAAGACCAAGCAACCTTTCATTGCTTCAGTACATCATAAAAAAGCACCTCTGAGGTAAGAATTGGGTCACCTGAGGCTAAGCATATTAGCTAAAATCCAATTGCATAATGTCATTAGAATAGACCCATTGACTTTGGGGGGATTTGCTAAGTCAACTCCTCTGTAATTTCCATTGATTCAGATGGCCATATTCTAGTTGAAACAGTACACTAAGCAACTGGTGTGTGCTTTGTGACACATTTGTTTCATAGAAGATGAACCAAGAAAGGAAGTATAATGGGGTGGGGGGGAATGGACAGAGTCATCTGTCAATTAGTAGCAAGTTTAGTCTCTGTCAGAAACACGGAAAAGGGAGAATATTTCTGAAATGAGGAAGAGAAAGTAGGGAACAAATAAAACACAGTTCCTGTGGGAAAAGACTTCTAGACTAAGGGCACCACCCTAGATGGCTGAGGTTCATCTGAGTCCAAAGGAGGTTATGTTGAAGTCATGTTCATCCCAGCCTAAGAATGCTGGAGATTGCTTAAAGTTACCCTCACCATAGCCAAAGTTTGTATCAGCCCAGCAGAAGCATCTGCAGGCAGACCTGTAAGATCAGCCAAAAGAAGGGTTTTCTGCTAACAGATGTCAGTTTGAGGATTTCTGTCAGAAAAAAGAGACTTCTTCCTATTCTGTCTTCTAAAGGCAGTGCTTCTTTGAATTAGGGTTCTACCATAAAACAGTAAAGAGTCTACTAAATGAGTTGTGTTAGTCATTATGAGGCTAAAAGACTAACATATCTCAACTGGCATTAGCTTTGATGGACTAGAGACCAAGAAAGAGGCTGTTGTGCAAAAAGCTATATATCAGATAAAACAGGTTATTCTTTATGGTGCCAAAAGACTTCCATGTTCAACCCAACTGGCTACTAATCTGGAATTTTCTGATATTTAGGACAACTTCCTCCTCATTCTCATTCATTTATCCACTAAGTTCTGTGATCTCTGGTGTTCCTACATAGTATTGGATTTTTAGGAGACAGTGATATTCGTGTATCAAGGCTTTGACAGAATCCAGAAAAGGGGGCAGAAACTTACCATTTTGAACTACAGCATCAAGGCCACCGAAGCTACCATGGCCACCTACACATATTCTGGGAAGAGTAAACCACCCAAAATTAAATTTTCTGTCTCTGTCATAATCTGAAATAATGCCAGATCACTACATATAGGAAAGTTTTAATCTGAGTTTTCCATTCATATCTTTTAAGCAATAGTGAAAACTACACCTTCATTTCATTTTTTAGCAGACCACAGAAAAAGACATTAACATCCCATTTGTGCCATTTTATTCCAACATAACTTTGAATTACACAACACATAGTTATTGTATGAGAACATGATATTTAGTGACAGAAACTGATATCCTATACAGACTAAGAGTTTCAATTATTTCTGAAGCAAAATGTATTTAAGAATATTGCATCCAGATCCAGATGGAATGGTACATGCATCCCATCATAACCACATTTTAAAGCAAATATTTGCATGGCGGCATTCATAGATGAACCCATAACCACAATACCAGCTTTAATAAAATATTTCTCCTCTGAGAATAGTTCACATGTACATTAGACATTCCTTTTCACCTCATTAGAGCATCATTATTTACTCATGTTAGCAGAAACTCTACTCTTCAGTATTTCATAAGTGATAATTCACATCACCGGCTACCTAAAAAAACCTTTATAAAAACAATGGCAAGAGGAAGAAGCATCGAACAACAAAGATTTCTGATGAAAAAGTGTACTTCTAAGAGGAAATATTTGCAAACCAATGCTGTAAATTAGATACATAATGGAGGGGGGGAGGGAGATATGAGGGGGAAAAGACTTACAAACTCTGCAATACACAAAATTAAATAAAATGTACTTTAGAACAGTGTTAAAATAAGCACTTGCCTTATAAGAATACAGCCCAGGTGTAAGGCTTGAATTTTGCCTGCACTATGATTAGTCGTTTTTCATGTGTAAAACAATAAAGACCTACAGTTGCAGCAGCAAATTTATCCCGCAAATAGGAACAGAAAGCATTTTAAGTCTGCTTTAGCTTACTTTCAAGAATCCAGGACAACTGATCAAGAAACATGGTTGATCCTCCCCAACAATATTCCTTCTGACACTTTTGTAAGAAACCAGGCAGATCATTAGCACCACCCATCTCTGTCTGAGTTCCTGGAAAAAGGCCAATTGTACAAATGAACCTGAGCATTCATTCTCCCAGGGGTTTTATTAATGATTTGCTCTATTGAAGTATTATTACCAATTTATGTTGTGCCAAAATTCCAAGACACAAAGAAACAGAACACATGCAATAGGAATATATGGGAAATAAATAAAACATGGGATATGAGATTGATCCGAAAGGGCCAGACAAGCAAAATATTCAGCAAGCCCTTTGACCCACGACACAACATTCCTGCAGAACAGCAGTTCCCAGCTCTGGGTCCTGAGATGTTCATGGAGAAAACCTCGCAGAAGCTTTCACCATGAGAGGTGCTGGCCAGGATTTCTGAGAGTTGTAGTCCAAGATCATCTGGTGACCCAAGGTTGGGAAGCACTGCTATAGAAGATGCAGGAAATGAATAGAGTGACACCAATCATCCTAGCCTACTCGATTTTTAAAGAGATGTAGGAAAACCAAAGTGAAGTTTTAGACTCTACATAAGAAGCAAAACCTCAGCTCTGTGGTCGTGTCCATCCTTGACAGTAGAGCAGTATTATGATTTCTGCTCCCTAAATCAGTGGTCCCCAAACTTGGGCCTCCAGATGTTCTTGAAATACAACACCCAGAAGCCTTCACCAGCACCTCTGCTGGCCAAGATTTCTGGAAGTTAAAGTCCAAGAACATCTGGAGGCCCAAGGTTGGGGACCACTGCCCTAAATAACCAGCCATCCTCCCACATTATTTCTAAACATTTCCAAAGAGCTTCATTTAGTCCATATCAGAACCCCCTGGAAACCGTTTCCAGGGTTCCTGAGGGCTGTAGCAAATAATAAACGTGTGACTCATATCATTAAGCTGTTTTATTCTAATTATCATAACATATATTCAATTTTGTTTATATTTATATATGAAAGGAAAATATCTCCAACAAATGATGCAACATGTATCAGCAGGAAATATATCTAATCTAATTTTAGTTTCGGAGGAGTTTATCCCCAAGACTCTTGTGAAGTTGGTCAAAAAACAAGTGTGAAAGTGCCCCTGCCCACAGACACAGTTCTGTTTCTTGCATTTTTCTAAGACTCTGAAGAAATTAGTAGCAAATCATGGCTTTCTGATACATTATAATATATTAATATGTTGGCCATCTTGGATCCTTTAGGAGAAAGGCTGCATATAAATATTTTTAAATAAATACATGCACGAAAAGTAATCACACTTCTGGATGAAATCCTTGTACCATTTTGTCTGAAGAGTTTTTTGCATTTATTGTTGTTATATCAAATTACTGTTGGCAGATGATTTCATGTCAAAGGGCCAAATTATATATTTGGTTGCCTGTTAGACTTCCAGAAAATAATTCAGCGATCAATATTCTATCTGTCATCCTAACTTTGAATCTAGCATTCATGACATGCTTGTACCAAGAGGCCCACAGAGGCTCTTTCTTTCACACACTCTACTCTTACAAACATTTCCTATTACAGTGGTGCCTTGCTTAACGGGTGCCCCATTTAACAACGAATCCGCATAGCAATGAATTTTTGCGAGCGTTTTTGCGATCGCAGTGCAATGTTTCTAATGGGAAAAAATTGCTTTGCAATGATCAGTAAGCTGTTTCGCTTACCGATTTTCGCATAACTATGATTTCCCAACAGCTGATCGGTGGTTCCAAAATGGCCACCGGGTTAAAAAAATGGCCACCCACTGTGTTTTCACCCGGATTCCTTGCTTACCGGGCAGCGAAAATGGCAGGCATATGGAGGATTTTCACATAAAGGTGAGTTTTTTGCCCATATGAATGCATTAAATAGGTTTTAATACATTCCTATGGGCTTTTTTATTTCGCATAGCGATGAATCCGTATAGCGATGATTTTGGCTGCACGGATTATCATCGCTATGTGGGGCACCACTGTACTGTATTCCAGGCTTTCACAGCCAGGATTCGATGATTGTTGTAGGTTTTCCGGGCTGCCTGGCCATGTTCTTGAGGTTTTTCTTCCTAGTGTTTTGCCAGTCTCTATGGTCACCATCTTCAGAGGACAGAACTCTGTCTGACAGAGTTCTGTCAGTTAAGAACGTTGCCAAGCAGGCTGAAAAACCTACAACAACCATTTCCTATTACCTTACCTTCCTTCCAAGAGCTAGAGAGAGCCCAAACTAAATAATAGACGATGCAACTTTTCCAAGACTGAAGAGAAAATCAGCAAGGTATCATCTATCATGGCTTCTCAAGATGGACGCAGATCCAAGAGGCTGGCTTACTAATTGTGAGTCATTAGCCACCTTCAAGAATATAGTATTAAGGCTGCACAAGCATGCAGCCATATATTGTGCTGCCAGCATCAGACAGCATTTCATAAGCCAAATAAAAAAAAACAGGAATGCCCAAACCAAAAACAAACAAACTATGAATCTGAACCTCATATCAGGACCAAATTTGGCACAGATGTAGCAGAAAGTCTGTTAGGCATCCTTCACTCTCAAGAGACTATGGTAATGTGCTCTGTATGGAGGACTTGGAACGTCTAGTGTGGCTGAGGAGGCCGATTCGGGAGTGACAATTGTGGTAAAAGCGTTCCTTAGAACTGCCTTTACACGAGACAGAGAGGGATTCAGAATGATTAGTCCCTAATGCTAGCAAAACTGGGTCCTGTAATTCTGCCCTAGGCGACTTCTCACTCCTTCACCCAAGTCTGTCTCGATTTTAAACAAACAATCTGGAAGGTCTGCTCTTCCTCTTTTTACTTTAGGACCCTCTTTTGGTAATATGGTAATGTGGCCAGATCAAAACAATCTTAGTCAAAAATATCCAATTTACTATAGTAGCTTGGTCTATACAAGGAGACAGCTTACAGACAATTTGTCTTTTTATATTTTATTACAAAAGATATCACTTCAACAAGCTTATTTTAACGTTATTCAGTATTTCCAAAATAACCCCCAGCCTTAGCCACCAGACATTTCCTCTATAAAGTGAAAACAATAAAATGTCTAACTAGATCTTAAATAAGCTTTCTTACGCAATCCTTTTGATTAAAGTTCTGTCGGCTGCATTTCGCTCGGTGTCGTCTCACTCCCTTCCATATCTTCTCCGTCCTCTTCTTTCTTCTTCGCCCATCTTCCTTAAATTAAGAAGCTATGTCCTTGTCCATCGAGGAGTTGAGATAAGATAAGGTCAGCTTGCTCTTCTTAACTTTTTT